TCTATGGGAGCTTAAAATTCATCAGTGGGTAACTAATTCTTAGGGAAGAATATAGGGCAACAAATAATGAGTATTCGGGTGTGTCTTCATTTAAGACTTTATGCCCAGATGTGAAAGAAAAAAACACTAACACAAAAAATAGAGAAAATTACCAAAACAAAAAACCTCTCAAGGATACACCACATAGTTCTTTGGCATCCAAGTTTAAAAAAAATTAGAAAAAAAAATCTGGTCTGCATTTAATACATGAGTATGTAACAGACCTCTTGTTCTAAGGTTTTTAAGATGGCAGTGTATCTGCAGTTCAAATTGAACACACTTACAAGTAAAAGCATTTATTTCAATCCTTATTCCAGGAAAGATCTGATTAGGATTGAAAAAAGATATAGGACTGGGGAGGGTTAATGCACTCTCTGCAATATAAATACTCAATATCAAAAAGGTTACCCTACAGACATTAAATTTAATATTAAATTCTCTTTATTTCTATAGTATCTGGAGATTATTTGAAGATTAAAAATCACAAGGCTCCACTACAAAAGGCTTCTGTCTGAAAGACAGGTTTACAGACTATGGAGAGATGGAAATAAAGAAATTTTCAAACGAAAAGAAAGGCTTACTCTATCCAAATGATAATTCTTTTAGATTCCCCCTGCTTCAGAGTTCCAAAGTTAGTCATTCTTGATATTTTCAACTCTCCTTTTTCTCTCATTAAGTCTTCATAAGGCTCATCTGTATTACCTCCACTAGAGTGAGATTGTCTGTAAAAATAATTTTAGGTAGCAATTTTTAAACACTAACAGACTCAATAAACATCTTTGATTCAGCACAAGTTTAAGAAGCACTATACAAAGGCATAGTCACAATATTTAGAAAGACGAAGGTGAGAGAGCTAACTTTTTCCCAGCAACTTATACTTCCAAGGCAATTGGATTACCTTTCCTAATTTAAGCAGCAACAAGCTTTTGTCAGTAGCACAGTAAAGCAGCATAAAACTTTGGACACAAGATTGAAATGATTGAAAAGTTAGCTAATCTTTGCTGAAGAGCTGAGTCAAACAGTGACTGAAGCCCTTATGTATCTTCCTGCGAGCTGAAAAAAGACACAACAAAGAGCAGCTCCTTAGCAAAAGTCATGTGTAGAACTGGAGCTTAAGTGATAAAATTACTAGACTGGAAGTGTTTTAACCCAAGCACTTGCGTCTTCTGCTTATTGCTCCAATCTGAAAACAGCAAACTGAAGAAATTAAAAAACACATGAAAACCAAAAAGCACCCTTGAAAACTTCAATCACACATACTACCAAAAAAAATATCTGTGAAACCAGTCACATGCTCTTTCCAGTCTGAAACACTGACCACAGCTCTAACCTCCTTCTACCTGTAGAAACAATTTTTTAAAATTGCTTTTATGTTGCAATTAAGAAACCATTTAGATGGAGCAGCATGGAAATAACTCGGAAATATTTTAATAATCTCACCAATATTTACACACCCTAAGTATTCCTGAGTTATCTAACATACTGAAGTAGAAAATGAATGCAGCTGCTCTTCATTAGTTACATCAAATTACTAGCCAAGCCCACTAGATGTCTCCCCTTGCAGCTTAAGCTGCCTCAACTTTTTGATATGGTAGGATGTACACTAAGCCTGAGAAATCAACCCTAAGGTCTACTTTTGTAATTTGGCTTTAGTAATAATTTTCTGTATAAAATCCATCATTAAAAACAGGTCCAACTGAAAAAATATGTGAACAATTTGTACTGTTTTGCAAAATGATGTCAAGACTTCAAGTTTCATCTAGGTACAATTTAAATCTATTTTATCTGTTATCTTTAGTGAAAAGATCTTATTTCATTCCTTGTAGATTCCTTGAAGATGTGTACTGCCCTTAGCTTTATTTCCTGGAGATGTCCCAAAGGCAAGTTCTCCCAAAGACTATGTTTGAAAGATAATCACAATGTTCTTTTGCTCTCCCCTTTGGACTTTGCAATTGGTTGACAATTTATTTTTGGCCTGCAGAATCAGACTCTGTAATCCTACCAAGGCCTTAGCATGGCAAGTGATAGATTTTACAGGTAATAGCCCTATTTATTTAGGTGGTATTTGTTTTTCACAGGACAGACACTTAAATTCACAGGTCAAACTTCAGATCTTTGCTGCAGAACTGCTACTTCCTAGTTGCCATTTTACATCTGCAAAGCTGATTATTTCACCAAGTTTTACTGCTTCTCCCTAAACATCATCTACTTTTTCCAACCTCTTCTGCAATCTCTCCTGATCCTCACATCACATATGTCATCTAAAGTGCCTGCAGAACCTCTCAGTTGGATACTTGCAAGTCCAACAAATCTCTATTATTCAGATTATTTGACTGTTCCATTTAGGACAGATACCTCAGCAATCACTATAACTTAAGCAAAATGGATTAAAGAAACATTCATTTTATATCAGTCTTACTGAGAATGGTTTTGAACAGTCAAGTCCCCAACTAAAAGAGCACAGATAGAGGAAACAAGGTAAGAGCATGAGCTTGGCATTTTTCTAATAAAGCCATGCAAAACTCCTACCCTGCCAAGCAATATCCCCGAGCTTAGCTGCTACTAATTTTGCTTCTCTAGTAAGTACAGATGTCCTCACCTTCTGGAAAGGGGGGGGAAACAAAAAAAAAAGCAAGGGCCATATAATAACACCCTGTGATTTTTCCAATGATCTATCATGCCTTCTAGACACCTAGGGAATAATTCCCACTATTTCTCATTTAACAGATAAAATGAAATGTAAGCTGCATAATTACACTACATCTCTAATTGTTATAAAGAGAACAAAATAATGAATATTACCCATCCTCGCTGACTGGCACTAGGCAGAGAGCTCTCCAAATATAACATGACTGACTGCTTTCCACCACAATTGTATTCACTAGATCATGTCTACGAGGTGAATAGCCATCAGGAAGTCTCAAGGAATCCAAAGTGAAAAATATACTCTCATCTACTGTCCCAGTTCTTCCACAGATGCTGGAAATGCGAACCTGTAATAGTTTGTATTCAGTGTTACTTGATAATATCTGCTTAAGCTGACAGACATAATAGCATTGCGTATTGTTGTCCCGTGAAACAGGCCCTCTAGCATTAACAAAGCTGCATTCTGAACTTTCAGTTATTCACAGGGGATAAACCTAGATCTGTAACCTGTGCTTGTCTTTAGATTTAAAATCATAAAGAAAAACAAGTACTTCAGATAAGCATTAGGTTCCACTTAAGTGCATATTACAATATGTACATTTGCCTTAATTACGATACCTCTCTTGTGACAGATCAACTTACCTAATTTATACTTCAGTATAGAAGGCACAAGAGAAGAAATATTTTCCTATGCTTGACATGCAAATATTCAATATATACAGTTAAGACAAAGAAAATAAACCATTAACCTAATATATGCATTACTAGAGTGAATAGATACTTCCACTAAAAAAGAGGACAATGGTTGTCTTTAAGCCAAAACACTTGGAAAAATTAAACATAATTAATTCCACAGTCATGACTTCTTAAAAAGTTTGAAAATCCACACATCCTCATTACAATCAATAGTAAGCATTCAAATCAACAACTGATAATAAGTTAGTTACTCTTTCTGTTCAAACCAAAATGTGTATGCTTTTTCAAAAAGCCTTGATATTCTAGAAACAATCCTACAAATGGATAAATTGATACATTTTATCTTTTGATTAAAGATGTATAACAGAAGATCTACCAATATTCCTAACTTAAACCAATTTCAAAACCCCACTTCACACAAGATTCCTCTTGCCAAAAACAACGTGCAAAATGTTTACCTTGTTTACTTGCTTATATCTCAAAGGCCTTACAGCAACTGCTTCACTCTTCCATGTTGTCAAATTAATAAAATACTTTGCTTGCACCCAATCACCTTCATAGGGTTTGAAATCTATATAAAATGGAACATTTCTTAAGTTTAATTACTACTGATACTATTTAATTACTATTGATATATCGATTTACATTACTCTCCTACAGAACTAGCTTAAGTTAAGTAAAATCCAGGAAAATGCATTATTCAGATCCACTGACTCCAAACTTCACTTTGCAGTTCCTCTCCCCATAGGTTAGGCCAAATTACATAAGAGATGCTGGTGGAAAAATACACCTGTTTTCTTCACCCATGTATGGGTATTTCACTGCACACACTATTAGAACTTACTCGGGATCTCAACGGCAAGTCTATCAGAAGATATTTCTATTGTACATATGAATATATTAAGAAAGAGGAAACAAGAAAGCCCCTACACACCTTCCCAGACGTCTTCCTTTGCAAAGTAAGTATTCTGATTAATATAGCCACCATGCTTAGAGAGAGAGGTAATACTGCCAATTAATGTTTTGTTATGTAGTTCAGAGGCATCAAAAGTAGGACTGAAGTCTTCTTGTGTATCCTGGATGGTGTCTATCTATTAATACAAAAATAACCCCAACATTTAAACAGCTGATACTTAGAATTACATGTTAAACATATATTCCTACAATAAATATCAGGATTTCAATTCTTTATGGTAGCAAAGCTTCTTATTAGACAATTATTTAGTCACTGTAGCTGTTACTTTTTGTACACAAAAACAATGAGTAGTAAACAGTAAGTAACTTCTTTAAAAAATCTGCTGTATGCTGCAATGCTGACAACTACTATAATTACATGCTGATTTTTCAAATCTTTCTCTGGCTTCCCTTGCTTTAGGTCTGCTTAAGAATTTTCTTCATATTGACAAGAGAATCACCCTCAGCAATGCGACTGTACACAAGCAGACCTAGAGCTAATCACTATTTCAGAAAGCAAAAAATATGTTTCTAAGATAGTGTTTATAAACACTTTTTCAGACTGATCCTCAGTTGTTCTTCAATAATTTGAATAGGAAAACCCCTAGAGCTGCTTCTCACAGACTCTCTATAGCACCACCTCAAATCTAAATTTACAGAAGTCTGGTCTAATCTGAACTGGACTACGGTCCTAATTTTTATATGATTTGTTTTGTTGAACATAACGCATACTACCATTTAAGATAGTAATAAATAGTCTATGTCTACCTCTACTTCAGAGTTTGCAAACCCTACAGTTAGACTACATATACTTAGCTATTGTTTAGTCAATACAGTGATATTGCATTTAAAGAACTATCATTACCTGATATTCCTTTTCATAACATGAAAACTCACTGTAAAAAATATAATAATAATTAAAAAAATCTACGTTTTGCTCCAGTCTGACAGACATACCTTCACATTCACCAAGAATATCTGAGTTAATTGGAAGGAGATAGTACTCATGTTCAAGCATAATTTTGTACAGTATTTAATGATTATACTTGTCAGGAAGCTAAATTTTCTCCTCTGACGAGGAGTTTAAAAAGAGACTTAGCTCTTTGCTTCTGTCCCCCGAAAACACTACAATGTTTTTTCTTATCAAACTCAGAGTAAGTCAAGTTTGTGCCACTACATGGGAAGTAATTTAAGATATCAAAAACTACAGAATGAATTTAGGTTTTTATTCAAATACTTCAAACAGACTTTGAAGAAATGAGTTTTTTCTTCTTGCTCATTGAATCAAGACTGTTCTTGGACTTTGACTTTCTATGGAGTCCAGTCAGCTTTTGGCATAAACTCAGCTTTCAGCTTTTCACCCAGTCACAAACTACATTGCCAACAGTCTGAGATGCCCGTAGCATTATGCCTCACAAACAGGAATAAGATAAATCACTATACTTTTGAAAAAAAGACCTTTTGAAAATGCCATTATCTAGAACACACAGCAAAACATCCCACAACTGCTAAAACATTACACTTGTTTTGTAGATCCTTATGTAGTTTTTCAGCTGCCAGGTTTATGTATTTTGGAGCAACAACAATATTTCAACAGCATGGTGAAAGCTGTCAGTCAGAAGGAAAACAAGGAAGAAAAAATAAGGTTTAAACTAATCCATTGTCTGACTCTGTGGGTACTGTTTTACCAAACAGCATTGAGACTGCTTGTTGGACAAACAATATTTAGTTTTTATATAATAAATTAATTTCAATTAAAAAAAAAGAAACAAAAGGAAATAAGAAGAGACAGGTTATCTTACAAGACACTAGGTTTTTCATAACACTGGAGCCAGTAATACTTTAGAAACAAGACTTCTCTTTTACTTTCCTTCTGTGTTTCATTTTAGATCACACAATAAAACTCTCTCCCCACTAACAGTCTTTCTTCAGTTTTATTTAATCAATGAAACTGCATTGGTTTCAACATTAAATATGCTGAGAAAAAACTCCCCTCAAAATTTGTGACAAGGTATAATCAAGCTTGAAATAGATTTACAACTGAAGTGTTAAGCAAGCAAAGTATGGGTATCTCCATTTTTATTACTGTCTGTAACACTTAACTTGCCAATTTTTACAACAGGGAAATTTATGTTCTTACTTCTGTGCAAAAAGAGTAAACTTGCAGCCCCTGCTTTTATGTTCTTATGCATTCATATAACAGTAACATAAAACTGACTTTGAAACTCAGAAAAGTTATGCACGGATCTGGAGCAGCTATGACTAAAAAATTCTGATGCAATTATCTCAATCAGTAGTTTCATATCCCTTACACTACACCTATAATCAGAGAATCATTATTAAACATAATTTTAAAGGTGATGGAATAAAATAATTATAAAAAAAACTGAAAAAGAATTCATCCCCACTGGGTGAAGGGCTGGCAATTTCTCCTATTTTGTAGAATTTGTGAGGCCAGAACTATAGCAACTTCCAAAACAAAGCCTCAAGCTACTTACACAGACTACTATTTATCTTCACCTCTTACCCTGATAGCCTTCAGGCCACCCGATGTTTTATCCTCTTCCACTGTGGCAATAACTTCTTGTCCAATGGCCAGCAACATATTTTTTGTAACAACATCCTTTGTGAAGACTATCATGTCATCTATCATCCCATAATCATGGCAAAGTCTTGTCACTACTCCTTGTACTGTTTTCAATTCTTGATCACCTGCATCAAGAAGAAAAGCCCAAATCATGTATTTACAGAACTATGCAACAAGTTATGAATGCTACTAAAAGTGCTATCCCTTCTATCAAAAAACCAACTAAAAATAGCAACAGTTGCCAATTAATTACTTTTACACTTAAGTCTTGAAGTCTTATGGCAACTTATCATTTCAACTAATTAATAAAGGTAGTTAAATACAAACTATAGCGTAAAAAGCCACATTTTAAGCTGCATTAAAAAAAACCCCAACGACACAGAATATCTTGAGTTGGAAGGGACCTATGAGGATCATCGAGTCCAACTCCCTGCTCCTCACAGGACTACCTAAAACGAAACCACGAGTCAGAGCATCATCCAGATGCTTCTTGAACTCTGACAGGCTTGATGCCGTGACCGCTTCCTTGGGAAGCCTGTTCCAGTGACTGACTACCCTCGCAGTGTGGAGCCTTTTCCTAATGTCCAATCTGCATTTCCCTTGGTGCAGCTTCATTCCATTTCCTCATGTCCTATGGCTGCTCCCCAGAGAGAGGAGATCAGCACCTCCCCCTGCACTGCCCCCCTTGAGGAAGGTGTCAGCTGTGATGAGGTCGTGCCACAGCCTTCTCTTCTCCAAGTTGAAGAAGCCAAGTGACCTCAAACACTCCTTATAAGTCTGTCCCTTGAAGCCTTTCACCATCTTGCTCATCCTCCACTGGATACATCAAACCATTATAGTGTAATTCTTGTACTGAGGCATCCAAAACTGCCCACAATATTCAAGGGGAGGCCACACCAGCGCAGAGCAGAGTGGGACAATCACCTCTCTTGACTGGCTGGCGCTGCTTTGCCTGATGCCCCCCCAGACATGGTTGGCTCTCCTGGCTACCAGGGCACTGCTGACTCATTCAACTTGCCATCACCCAAATCCCCAGATCTTTTTCCACACAGCTGCTCTCCAGCCTCTCTGTAAGCCTGTCTTTTTCCCATTTAAGTTGGAAAAGACCTTTAAGATCAGGGAGTCGAACACTGCTGAGTTCAACATTAAACCATGTCCCTATGAGCCATATCCACACAGTTTTTAAACTGCTCTAGGAATGGGGACTCAACCACTTCCCTGGGCAGCCTGTTCCAATGTTTGATAACCCCTTCAGTGAAGAAAATTTTTCCTAATATCTAATTTATTCCTGACACGACCCAGGTTGCCATTGGCCTTCTTGGCCACCTGGGCACACAGCTGGCTCCACGTTCAGCTGCTGCTGACCAGCACTCCCCGGTCCTTTTCCACTGGGCCTCTTTCCAGCCACTCTGCCCCAAGCCTGTAGCTCTGCACGGGGTTGTTGTGACCCAAGTGCAGGACTTAGTACTTAAACGTGTTCAACTTCATGCAACTAGCCTTAGCCCATTGATCCAGTCTGTCCAGATCCCTCTGCAGAGCCTTCCTACCCTCCAGCAGATCAATGCTCCCATCCAGCTTGGGGTCATCTGCAAACTGACCGAGGTGCCCTCGATCCTTTGGTCCAGGTCATCGGTGAAGAAAATATCCACAGCCTTTCCCTCATCCACTAAGTGGGTCACCTTGTCCTAGAAGGAGACGAGGTTGAACAAGTAGGACCTGTGTCTCATAAATCCATGCTGGCTGGGCCTAATCCCCTAGTGTTCTGCATATGCCACATGATGGCACTTATGATGATCTGATCCATAACCTTCCCTGGCACCGAGGTCAGGATGGCAGGCCCGTAGTCCTCCAGATCATCCTTCCCTTCCTGTAGATAAATATCAGATTTGCTAACTTCCCACGTACTGGGACCCCCTTGCTTAGCCAGGACTGCTGGCAAATGATGGAAAGTGGCTTGGTGAGCTTTCCTGCCAGCTCCCTCAGTGCCCTGGGGTGGATCCTGTCCAGTCTTGTAGGTCTGCGTGTGTCCAAGTGTTGTAACAGGTCACTGCCCATTTGCCTTTGGATTATTGGGGCTTCATTCTGCTCCCGGTCCCTGTCTTCCAGCTCAGTGGGCACTGGTCTTGCTATTAAAGACTGAGGCAAAGAAGGCATTAAGTACCTCAGCCTTTTCCTCATCCTTTATCACTGTTTCCCTCTAAGCTAAGGCTTCTCTTTAGCTCTCCTTTTGTTGCTATCATATTTACAGAAACTTTTTAGTTGGGTTTTGGCTTTTTTAATTTTCTCCAAGCATAATAACCTCATGGTACCCTTGCAGTCATCTTGAGTTGCCTGCCCCTTCTTCCAAAAGTCAAGCTCTCTTATTTTTTTCCCCAAGCTCCAGCCAAAGCTAAAGAGCTACTTCCAAAAGCTCTGGGGCATCAACTATTTTCAAAATTTTCCATAGTAAAAGAAAGTTCTCAGCACACTTTGTATGGCAAATCTAACATATTTAAGATTTCTATACTGAAAAAGCAGGAAGAATAAACAAGCTGTACAAAATAATTCTTCATTTTTAAAAAAAACATAGTTAATACACTTCTGAACTCAGATGTGGTGTTGTTTTCCTAGAACCATAGGAGTTTCTAGTTTTTTGGATTATAAGTACTATCTCCTAATGTATCACACAAACATTCAATCAACTGCATTGCACTGCAACTTCAGGCTTAAAGCTGAACTGAAATACGCTAGTTTAGGCTTTAAACACTTTATTAGCTACACTCACAATCAAGAAAAAAGGAAAGTAATCTTTTTTTGCTTTGAGTATTCATAAATACGAAAAGGCATTTTTTGCTCCATTGAACAATCCTATTAAAAGCACCTGAAATGTCTACCATTTTGGAATATGAAAGAATACACCATCATCTCCATTCTACAGCCCACGTAAAATGAAGTTTTATTTATTAAGACAGTAGCACAAGGGAAAACCCAAAGCATCCACCACAACACTCCTCCTACACCGCATTCCATACTCTAAGCAGCCACAGTAACCTGTTCTATGCAGGAAACAGTGACAAACTACTTCTGGGAACACTCCCACATTTCTGTAGTCAAAACGCTGTCTTACAACCTTCTCGTTTCCTTTCTTAAGGAAACAGGTTCGCACTCAGCTCCACTCACGAGGCGGACGAGACCACCAGCGCCCCCACGGCTCTGAAGCTGCACCACAAACCCACAACCGGCCCAGGGACCCCTACCTGAGGTCGCCCATCTCTCATCTTCGTCACCTGCACGTCTCCAGAAGTAAGACAGCGCCTTAGAAAGGAGGCAGAACATCCCGGAGCAGCTCAGAGCAGAGCCAAAGCCTCCGGCAGCGCCTCCAGGAGCACACGGACGACGCTCGCACGCGACGCCGCCGACCGAGCTCTGCCCCCGCCGCGCCTCGAGCCCCGCGCCGCCGCGGCCAATCGCGCTGCGCACTCACGGTCACGTGGGAGCGCCCACGCGCCTCGGGCGCGCCCGTTCCCGCGGCTCCGAGGGGGCGGTGCCGCTGGATCCGGGAAGGGGCAGCTCTGGCGAGGGGAGGCGGTGTCTTTTTCCCCGTCATCACCGAGTGGTGGCACTGTCGGCAGGAGGGAGGGTGAGAGGGTCTTCATCATAGAATCATAGAATCAGCTGGGTTGGAAGGGACCTTCGAGATCATCAAGTCCAACCCTTGATCCACTACCGCTGTGGTTACTAGGCCATGGCACTAAGTGCCACATCCAGTCTCTTTTTAAAAATCTCCGGGGACGGAGAACCCACTACTTCCCTGGGCAGCCCATTCCAATGTCTAACCACCCTCTCCGTAAAGAAATTCTTTCTAATATCTAACCTAAAACTCCCCTGGCACAACTTGAGACCATGCCCTCTTGTCTTGCTGATGGTTGCCTGGGAAAAGAGACCAACCCCCACCTGGCTACAACCTCCTTTCAGGTAGTTGTAGAGAGTGTAGGGTTTCAGCTGGCAGGGCTGAGGGCATGTTAAAGGTGGTGTCACACGTGGTTACCACAGAAAAGCTTAAAGCAAAGTGGTGCGTGCAGCCCATTGCTTGCTCATGGTGCTGTTGCAAATTATGCTCATAGGCTGTGACACGGTTTCAGTAAGTGAGATGTCCTGACCAGGGAAAACCCACGGGCAGCCACTGGGCTGAGGGCTCTCTGTGCGCTTGTGTGGCCCTGGGAATGAGCCAGGCATGGAGCCCATCCGGTGTGATGAAATGGAGTGTGTGCAAGAGTTTGCGTGTGCAAATTGCACGTTATTGGATCACTATTCTCTCAAGAGCAGCCAGTGTCAAAATGATAGGGTAAGCTCTAGAACATGATAAACTTGCCTAACAGAAAAAAAAAAGTATTTTTGTCCTAATATCATAAATATAGGAGCTGCTGTGGTGCTAGAGGAAATAAAATTTTAGTGACTTGCTTAGCATCTCCATAGTTCATATTTTTACCAGTTCTCTTCACACAATACACTTCAGGTATCTTCTATAAGCCCCTTTTATATCTTTTTTAACAAATACTGTTTCACAAAGCATAGTTCTTGAGTTGATGAGCTCAGCATCCCAGTAGCTTCAATAGGAACTGCCACATAGGACTGCTAGAGGAGGTGGTTTCAGGAACTTGAGCAAGGCAGTGTATACTTTTATGGGAAATGGTGGCTGTTGCGGAAAGGCCAGAGTGATTCATTGCATTCTGTGTTTAAGTTCTGTCACTAAAGCAGCAGTTGTCTTTGGCAACTTTTTGGTTTCTATTTGTAGGGTTCACTCAGGATTATTTAGGCAAAGAAGGTCCAGGAATATATTTCAGATTGTTTAACACTTTATAGAGTTCTGTACAGTTCCTACAGGAGAATAAATTCTGGTTGCCAGTAACTGCACATGAGTTCCAGTGTCTCACTCTGAAGTAACTGAGATGATGCTACTGGGAGGAAAAATGTGTATGAGTATCTGTAGTCAGTGATGTTTTTAGAGAAGTGCTGAAAGAGTGATAGTCTCTTTTTGATACATTGATTTAAAGAATTTTAGGTACTCTTTTCTTTCACTAAGATTCCAGTGGAGTGCAGGCAGGGGACTGTTAGTTGTCAAAAATGTGACAGATGAAGAAATAGGGTTTTTTTGGAGAAGGGAAGTAGTTATACATGCAAAAATTCTCGCCTGAAGATTCCGTAACTTATAACAGACTTCCCAGGCTGTGCTTCTTGGTAATCTTATTGCAAGAGAATGTACTAGGCAGAAAACCCAGTATTCAGTCTGGATGTACTTTAAAATTGTACCATGATGTGTTTATGACATACATAAAACTAGAAGAATTTTAACAGCATACAATGAATAGTTTGCATGCTGATGAAACCTGTTCAAACTCTTCAAGTGATGATTCACGTGAAGGACTAAATCCAAAGAATTTTATAGTATACTGGGGGAGCAAGACATCCACTTGCAGCTATTGGACCTGCATTTTGCCCTTGGTTCAGTACATGCCCAAAGATATGAGCTAGGAAACAAGGACCAAAGAATCAGCTTCGGAGAAACAAAATACATTAAGGAGCGGCTTTTAAAAGAGCTGAAAATATTGAACAAGGGATACAGGTAATGAGCTAAAATAGTGTAATTAAATATTGTGTGAAAGAATAAAAATGTAGTGCAATAATAACTCATCAGAAAATGAAGACGGGCAGGACAGTAAACATAAATTTCACCTGAGCTTCAGGTGCTGGTCGCATTTCGATTTGGGAACATGAGTGTGAGCCTGGGTGCAGTGCTAGAGAAACTGGCCCAGGACAGAGTGCTTTTTTGTTAACTACTGATAGCAAAAAGTAGGACTAGGACACTTCACTTACGGTTGTCAATCTCTTTTTTATCTTTTGTGGTTACTGTGGAGGATGCTTGCGGTGCACAGCCTATGGCAAATGACCAAGTACCTGCTACAGCCGCTTCAGGCAGCTGAATTTGTTCAGTGATAATTTCTGTGATGGAAGTAAGTAGTTCTTCACAGCTGCTCACAATTTGATTTGATTTGATTGTCATGCTTTGAGATCTTTTGGCCTAACTTAGTATGAAACCACTTAATTTGTAAATCCTTTTCAGAAGCCTGTCGTGTTCTTTTGGAATTGTTCTACTTCCTGTAGTCTTTGTATAGGTTTCCTGTGCATTCTTTAGAATTAGGAGGAATCTCTTTGTGCAGCATGTTTGTACCTTATTTAGCATTATAAGCTTTTGAGTTGTGACTTGGGCTCTGGTACCAGATCTTGCCTTGTTGTGTATACACAAAAATGAGACTTCTTATGGAATCAGAAACATGAAACAAAGGGAACCTAAAATAAGGGCCCCTGAAAATATTTAGAATAGAAACTGCAGTGTGAAGTTCAAGTGTTTTTTGTTGATGCTGAGGCCAAGTGCAGAGAATACAGTAGTTGTGTGGTGAACCTCTGTGCAAAAAGGAAATGGAAAATACTGAGAAGTGCACAGGAAAGGGGGCAGGAAGAATTTCACCATAACCAGAGAAAATACTATAGTGCCACACTTGAGAGAGGGAACTTTCAGATACAATACTGGCTGAAACACTTGGAATGGTGAACAAAATGTTCTAGGGTTTGAACTCTGCTCTGTTCAGTGGTGGAGGACTTTATAAATTCTTTTTATTCAAAGAGATTAGATCAAGTAAATACCTGAATGTCTCACCAATTTTGTGCAAAAAAAAAAAAAAAAAGACCTTCTCCCTAAATTGGTCAAAAGGGTTAAAATATGATCCTCTTGTATCTATGGTAATTTGTGTTAGAATAAATCAGTACCTAGCATTCATCGATAAAGCTTGTTAGGTAAGCACTACCCATTTTCCATTAAACCATAGTCTTTGTAAAGTTACAGAAAATGGAAATAGTTGCATAGTATTTGCTCCATGAACAGAGGAACAGAAGGGCTTAGTTACTGAAGAACAGTTTTGCTTGACTACATAGTCTTTTTTTCCCCCTCTCCTTTTCTGACAGAGTTTACAGCTGTGTCTATTGCTGTGTATGGTGTAATAATTCCCTGTTTATTAGAATGTTACAGTTGTTTTAATAATTCTTTCAGTATTGGCTGACATTATGAGAAAATTAAAATCTACAGTCTGTACAAATTGAGAAGTTGCACTGTTCAGAAGTTTTTCTAGCATACTTTAAAGGTGATGCCCTTCAGAATACTGAAGATTTAATTGTGTCTTGGTTACAAGAGTGTTTAAAGTTTAGACAAAAGACCCTGTCATTGCTGTAGCTGTCAAGGTGCCAACATCTTCAAGATAAAAACATTCCCTTTTTTCTTTTTTTTTTTTTCTTTTCATTGCCTAATAAGCAGGAGGACTGGATCCAATGTACCCTGGCCATTGCATGTCACTGCTGCCTGCTAGATTTAAAATATGTTGTTTAGTCAGCTGGGTATTCTGTAAGTACGAATGACAGCACGATTGAAGTGTGCAGAGTTTATCTGAACACTCCAGAAGAGTAGGGTTAGTAGAAAAAGATGAAGTAGTGTTACACAGTGAAGAGAATAGTCTTGATAGATTTCTAACCTGTAACTTTTGAACCTCCTATCTTGTTGGGATGCTTGAATACTTGAATTTTTATCTGTGTTTTTTTTCTGAATACTGCATTGTAAGTATCTTTTGCTCTTTTGAAACAAGGACTAAGTTGTTGGATATTGGGATCACTTTCTGTTATAATAGCTAAAACTGGTAAACTGTGAGGAAGCTTTTATTTAAGATACTAAGTAAGGGGTAGTACTCAAATAAGAAAAGACACTTGAAACTTTTTTAATTTGTTGGTCTGATTTGGAAGCAGCCCTATGAGATGTAGTACAGTCATTTTCTAGTGTGTTCTGTTAATTAAAATTCAGGAGGCATTTTCCTGTTCCCTGGCTTAACTGAAGTTCTTGCTGTGCTTTTGTTCCATATCTGAATAGATGTTGTTGGAAGCCAAAGTGTAAGGGAGAACTTTTCAAAGCCGGCATGACTCACTGAACGGTGAGAATATCACAAAGTGTACAGGCAGCTGTGTTCACAAGGCTGTTTTAAACTGACAGTTAACTTTTCAGTGGAAGGTAAGCATGAAGGTTTTTAACTGTTGAAAAATCTGAAGTAACTTAATTCTAATATAATATACTCCTCAAGGTATTTGAACAGATTGGCAAGCTGTGAGGTGAACAAAAAAGGAGTGAGTGAACAAGAGAAATGATTGATACTGGGTAAATTAGAAACAGTTTGCTGTAGCTGAGTTATTGTGAGTATATGTGTTCATCGGACTCTTAGGGAAGTCTGTCATTTTAGATAGCTGATAAAAGGTGTTAAAATCAAATGGAACTTAATATTGAAACAATTTTAACTGTCTTTTCTGTCCCAGAGTTTAAAAAAAAAAAAGCTTTGGTTGTAGAGG